TATTTTATTAGCACTATCTGTGTTATGATTTTTTCTATCTACTCGTACTTTATTGTAGCATTTAACCGTCGGCGTCTCACGTTAACGAGCATCCACACAGCTCCACGGCCTTAGATCAATTGCGCGATCAAAACTCTACTGAATATCGTTTAACGAATGTTAGTAGATATGAGTTGAAAGCATTCGTTACCCGATAGCATATACATATGTATTACTACATACATACGCACATAAATTTGTACCTGCCTATACATATTTATGAACGAATATAAATAAATATAAGCGTATGCATATATATCGTACCTTTGCTGCAAAAATGTTATAATCCAAAACAAAAAATATTATTAAGTTGAGTATGCAAACATTTCCACCACTTCTTCTTCAACGTTGGGTAAAAATTTCATAGCTGTATCGATTTATATTAGCTAATCAGAAAAAAGTAGCTTAATTTGAACCATGGGGGTGTCGGTAAACGGCAAACTTTAAAGCAGTTTATCCCGAGATTTTGATTGTTTGGATTATGACAATCTTGCTACAAATGCTACTCTCTTTAATATTATCCCAGCCAGCAGATATGTAGACGTTAATTTTGCCGACAGTGCGATCTAGTACAATTTTATGTATCCGGAAACGAATAGAAAACGATTAAAATTTTCATTCATTTTCGTATCCGGAAAACGTTCGAAACATTCGAAAAAGATGATGTTAATTGAAAGCAATAATTATATTTTATTTGTTAAAGTTGAACATTTGAAAGCATGCATACGTAGCAGGGAAGCCAACTAATTTTTGAGAATTCCCCGATCTCGACAATGAAATTCCCCGATTTCGCCCGGAATTTCGTAAAATTCCCCATTCGCCTTATTTACAAAAAAAAACACACAAAAATTTAATTTATTTTGACATTTTGCTGGTCTTTCTGCTTATTTTATTTTTAAATGTAATTCATCTATGTATTCATTAACCAAACACACACTTTTATAAAGTTAGTTGACAAATAAAGAATATACAAAATATTTATATAATATTTATATACATACAGTGTTTGAAAAAATTTTAGTGACACCAATTATTATTTATTTTTTGTTATTTGATTTGAGCTATTTTTTTATAAAAATACAGTTCATTCTTTATCAAATACCGTATAAATCCAAGTTTCATCCTTTGTGCAATATTTGAAAAAATTCAACAAATTTTCGTAAACATTTCGAGTATTTTTATTCGTTTTCCAGAAAAATTATAATAAAGTGCAAATTGCAAGTGTTTAAAAATTTTCGCTTTAGTTATTTTTGCCAAAGTTTTTGCGATTTTCTTTCATATAAAAAAAAATATGTTTATTCGTTATATGAAAGCAAATGCGACAAAGAAGATTCTAAAAGATCAACGGTAATTTTTGGTTATTCGAAACATTGTTGTACTGAAATTGAACGAGCTGCAATTCCCCACAAAAAACGGTCCATTCCCCACAAAAAAGGGTCCATTCCCCGATTCCCCCCGCAAACTGAAATTTCCCGCAAACCGGGGAATTCCCCACGAGTTGGCTTCCCAGTGGCTGAGCATGTAGAGGAGTGTACCGCTATTTATTAGCTTCCAGAAGGTGACGAGTTCAAATTCCGTCAGGCGTTTCCTTAATTTTTATTTTGTTTTTCTTGGACCATGAGAAAGTATCTGTGAAGTGCAGAATGAAAGCGTATTGAACGAACAATTCAATCAGACAAATTTCAGAAGAACAGCCAAAAACTTCTCCGTTCCACAACAATGTTCGGTACTTGTATGTACGTATGTTTACTGGAGGGATTTACAAATCCAAACAAGAATAGAAGCCGTTCCCTTAAACTTTTCTGAAGAATAACATACATATGTATCGAATTCTGTTTATGCTCTATACCAGGGTTGTTGCGAATATTTGCATTCGCATTCGCTACCGCGGAGCTTCCGAATTAATTTTGACATTCGAATTCGCTTTCGCGTTCGCAAAAATCTATTCGGCTCTTTTGCGAATGCGAATATTGAAGAGACCGAAAATTACAGTTATTTTTTCACGAGTTAAACTTGAACTAGAATATGGTGCAAGTGCACTGACATACATATATCTAACCAGTCACAGAAGAAAGCATTAAAAATGAGATACAAAAACTAAAATCGAAAAACGCTGATGATGTGACAAATTCCGAAACAACCAAAAGAATGACAATGAAGAATTCTTTCGAAAAGAACGATGTTTAAAAAACGATTGTGCCATGATGCTAGATTGTGAAGATGAAAGTCAGGAGGATACATCCGACATTTGCAGCCCCGATGAAATTCTCAAAAAGTAATTATTGCACCGCAATAAAAATAAATAAATATGACTGAAAGTCCTCTCAACTGGTGCGGTGTCAATCGAAAAGAATTGACAATTTTGCCAATTTTCAAGTTTTTCAAGTTTGTCACCTCGACCGAGTAGTTATACAGAGGCGCAGGTTTGATTTACGACCCTTCGAAAGTTTTTATTAAGTACAATGTTCCAATTTTTAAATTCAAGTACTAAAAAAACATTCAGTCTTAGTTTAGTTTTCCCCGAACCGGTTCACTTTTCACTTTTGGTTTTCATGTACATATTTACTATGGACGGAATACAAATTTTCGGGTGAATTTTTTTGGCCAAAACTCAGGATAAGGCAGATTATTAAAAATTAGTAACCCTTCCATTTTTTATTTACCTAAATCACCTAATTTACCCATCCAAATTATTTCTTAATAATACATGACATCCGCATTCGCATTCGCATCCGTGGATGTTAGCTTTTACACATCCGCATTCGCATCCGCGGATGTCTAAAATTCCACATTCGCAACATCCCTACTCTATACGGTTAATATGAGAAAATTTAAATACTGGTTTAACATCTATCACTTACTTTATTAGTTTTTAGTGCGATACTTATACAAAGGGATGAACAAAAAGACATGTTCCATGCTTTGCAGGATTAAACACCCGAATAAACCACTTTCCAGCTGCCCACTCGCCGACGATCACAAGCTGGCTGGGGCTCATTAGTTTTAAGACCAATGGCTGTAAGCGCAGAATAGGCTTTATCTCCAGGTAAATAATTAAGCTCATGTCCCACTTTCAGCAGGTAGCTGTTAATGTGTTCTGGTACCTCGGCTTCTACGTCCACTTGCATAGGGGCCAATTGGTGATGCACACGTCCAGCGTCAATTGATTCTTGAATAGTATTGTTCAACATAAAATATCGTAGTATAGTCTGTAGAAAAATATAAATATTGTACGTATTGGAAATAGGATACATAAATACTACATGGCTTATGTTTAAATAATTGACTAACGGCACAGGCTGAACAGTAGTTGTCTTCCTTTAAACTCGTAAGAGCCTCGTAAAAGAACGGTCAAAATTTGTATGGAGCTCTATTTACGAGCCCCTCATAAAATTACGGGGCAAATTTGATGCGCAAACGACCTCGTAAACTTCAGTGTAGCCGAGGAGCCAAATTGTTATACTAAAATGTATNAAAAATATATATATATATCTCATGATCCGCTGATCGGATCTTAACCAGATTAGTATGGGACCACCTCTGAGACACTACCTTTCCGATGCAAAAAGAATTATCGAAATCTGTTGACGTGGTCCAAAGTTATGCGGTAACATACATAAAAAAAAAAAATATATATATATATATATATATATATATATATACATTCCGACGAACTGATAACCTCCTCCTTTTTTGGAAGTCGGTTAAAAATAATGAAAATAAATCAAAAAATATTAAGCAAATAAAATGATTGAATTTCATCCACTANGCTGGTTGGCATTTACGCAAATCACAAAATTGAATTTGATGGTTTGGAAGTTAAAAATTACAAAATGCGACTAATTAAACTTGTAAGAAATAAGTAGTTATTTGTTTAATCAATAAACTGTGTCAGTATAACACTTTGCGATGACTTTTCGTACGTTTTAAATTTTACACTTCTGTATGTAAACAAAAATTATATCAGCCGTTCGTCTAACTTGCAAGTTTCTGCAAATTTTCTGTTCGCGTACTATTTTGGATATTTCTCTCTTGTGAGCGAACAGATGACATTTCACCGGAATTTGGCAGTTGGTTGGTTTCTGTTGGAGATTTTAAACGAACGCACCTTATATTGACTTAGGTTTTTTGCAAATTTTCGGCATTTTTAATTGTATTTTAACCAAGAGTGATAGAGACAAGATGGCGGGATGTTATGGAAAATACAACGAAACAAAAATTGCTTCACAAAATCCTGGCTGATCTGTCAAATAGTCAATTTAGGCAATTATTTACTAAAAGCCTCGTAAACTTATGAGTTTTATACAGTTTTAGATTTTACGAGTTTAAGGGAATCCCCTAAGTAAGCAGAAGATGCATATCGACTCGCGTCACTGTTACTTTAACAGTGCTTTTTTTATTTAGCTCACGTATTATACTTGAAACTTAATAAGTTTTGTGCGAACCGGAATTAGCAAGCATTTGCAAGCTTCACTGCCAGCTGGCGTGCACGGTTGCATTTCGAGCATAATACGTTTTTTAAATTATTTCAGGTGGAAACCAAAACAGAACCTATACGTATATTTCTTGTTATTCTGACTTTCTTTAACAATTTCTTTGTGGAAGTCACTGTCGGATTTCCTATATCGGCAGTGGTGTCGCCTGCGTTCTGATTACGAATACAGCTTTTTCATCCGAGTACCTTTCAAATGTTTGGAATTGATTAAATTAATTTAATAAACAAATATTTACATACTTCTTTCATTAGTAAATCGCAACAAGATTGTTCATTTTTAAATTTAATGAAAATGAAAACTATTGAAATGTCAAAATTGTGCTCTCTCCTTGCAAGTTTTACTGGGTTTTTTGGTCGAACGAACACGATTTGGTAACAAGTGGTACCAACTTGTACAAGTTTTTTGCATAGAGAACACTCTTATTGCTACAATAGTTTTTCTTGTTTACAAATTATCCAGTAACTTGCCAGCAACTCTCCAGTAACCTAATTTGTGAGAATTCAAAAATTCTCTGAGATTTCCAAAAAGTACGCGAACGCAAATCCAGTAATAATTTGCAAATTTCATGAACAGCTGATAAATTGCTTGTTTATTCGCAGCAAATTCCTAATAAATCTATATATTTTATATTTAAATAGGTTTGTTGTTTGTCAATTTCAACAATAAAACCCATAAACAGTTTCCTTATTAGTTTAAATTGCATCCAGCAACATGCGATCAGCTGTTTTTCGCACTGGCAAATTCTTACAAGTAAAAATGTATCCAGTAGAAAACCATTAAAAACTTGCTACTTCAGCTGTCAAAACATGAAAATTCGTAAAACTTTTACTGGATTTTACTGAAAATGAGTAAACAAACACAACTAATGAACGCTTGGCAGCGAATGCTTTGGCCACTAATAAAATTAATATTTCGTATTGATTATTGCATTATAAACGCTATTTCTTGCCTGCATTCGTTTAAAAATGGAAAATATTCCACATAATTTTAATAATCACAATGGGCGAGATGTTAAATATTCTGCTCTGTTCCGGATTGTAAATTACGTCTGGCAAAGATATTTAAATTTGTACCGTGGCGTCTTTTGTATACTGTTGATTCTGTACTAACGGACATTAAAACTTGAAATTTATATTACCTGTGCAACTGAAGTTGTGATCCGAGATCCTCCAGCACCGCCAACCATCAATTTTACGTTGCCACTGTGGTCAAGAACTATGCTGGGGCATGTGGAACTCATCGGACGTTTCCCCGGTTTGATATAATTGGATGGCGACGAAGGAATACCGTAAGCATTTATTACTCCGGGAGTAGAGAAATCGTCCATTTCATCATTGAGTATTATACCGGTTTGGCGTGATCGAACTTTGGAGCCAAAGCTTATAAAATGGAAAAAAATAACCTTTGTTTTAACAGATTAAAATTTAAATCCATAAAATTATTCATGGTATTCATCTAATGAGGCCCGGTCGCAAGGGGTAATGGTAAGAAATATTTTAAGATCTCAAATATTTAAGATCTTTTTTCAGAGATAGTAGTCGAGAGATCTAGGTTTAATTTAAGACAGGAAGTCTCTATTACCATAAATAAGACTTTTTCGAATAGATCGGTCCCTGGCCCACTTAACGGAAAAAATGGAGCCTATATCCTAATCTAGGCAAAAGGCTACCAACGTACCAAATGCATTTTTTAACGTAGCTCGCCCCTGCTCCACCTATCGGAAAAATTAAAACTTTGTGCACTCCTTCTAAACACATTTCCAAAAGAGCAGCACCCATTCGAATTGGTTATGAAACATAGGTGAGAATTGTTCACAGTTGAATCATGCTTCCAATGAATTTCACAATTATCCGAAATTTTCCAAGCTTCCGTCGAAAAAAATTTAAATTTTTCGCGTTCTTCCGGATTTTTCCGAGTTTTCCACTTAGAATTTTCTATTTTTCCACTCGAATGCCATTCTAAAGGAATTGCACTCAAAATTTCATACGAAAAAATCATTCTGTCGTAAAAACCTTCTCCTGGCAATTACGAACAACCAAAAAAAATGTTAACCAAATCGGCCCAACCGTTCTCAATTGATGAATTACCATACATTTTTCACACCATTTTTATATATATATGTAGATTTAGATATGGGTGTGAGTCGAAAGAAATTTATGAAAGCTTTAGTTTGAAAATATTTTTAATTAGGCTGGCCACCTTTTCGAAAAAAAAACATATCGACCTAAAAGTATATGTATATGTATGGGCATTATACGAGAAGGTATTTTGTGTGATAATCATTCGTCAGCGTGCTTTTGAATTTCAAAAATGAGAGGTCTAATTAAAGACCCTAACCTGTAAATGTGCGATAAAGTTTTATTTTTTTACTTAAGATCTTTTTTTATCGGTAAAGGGTGATTTGAAATTTGATGAAATTTAAAACCTGCACTATGCGAAACCTCTCTTCACTAAAAAACGGCTACACGGATGTGGATGATCGCTTATAACTGTGACTAATATTTTGAATATTTTTTAGGGTTTTTAAGGTCAATTTTGGGCGTTTTAACGCCATGCGGGTTCACTAGTTAAATACAAAATGCTGATTACTCTAAATAAAACAATGATATTATTGGTTATTACGAATGACTTTACATAAACATAGCCTCAAATATTCAGAAGTCATTCTCGCACACATATTTATAGTATATTCACTACCATTTCCCGGACTAATTTTGACTATTTCTGACAAATTCGGACTCGTACTGGGCTCTATCATGGTCAAGAATCCATCAAAACTCGTTTCTGGTGTCAGTCTGAATGACTCATGGAAACACCGAAAAAATCATCAAGAAAAACAAAAAATAGCACACACTCCAAGGATGTGACGTACATAAATGCACGATATACTTGGCCCATTCCTTATATTTTCTGACTAAAATCTGAAAGTGTCAAAATGCAAGGGCATAGGAACAATGCGCTCACTAAAAGAGAACAGAAAAAAGTAAAGGAACACAAAAAAAAAAAATTTTTAGTCCAAAGATTGGCTATAACAAAACTAACGTCAAATAAAAATAGAAATGTATGTACAAAACACTATCTACTACTACTACTTATATCAATTATTTTTTTGCCTCCTTCCATTTTCAATTAATTTTTTTTTTTTTAGTTTTTCGATTATTTTCACCAGGAAACACTTCTATTCTGGTAGATAAGGAACCGTACTACATGGTAACTGGGGGAATTTGACAAAATAAACGACATAGGTGAGACACTCTTTCTCTTTATTTTAATTACCAGAATGGTTTACGGGATGATAAGTGGTGCTGGATTAAGTGCTATCAGGGGATTCTATAGTGGTTGGTCACTGCAGTTAGTCTATCAAAGCTTCCATGGCGAATAACTGTTGGATCCCCTGTGGCATTCCCGGTAAATCCATTGCCCCTACCTTATAGCGGAATCAAAGAAAGCTGTATGGACTAAATTCATATCCCGCTATTTTTTGTTCTTAAGAAAAAAATCAACACATTGGCGGCTTGGCAAAATCTTGGTGAGCAGCCTTGCTTCTTAAGTGGAAACACGCTTCCAAGTTGGCAGGTTGGTCCTGTATATAATCTTGCATTTAACTAATAGAAATATGTAAATACTCACTGGCTGTTTACTGTACTGGTTACCGCAATTGCGTCTCCATTCGGTGCTAGTACTGCAATATTTGCAGTTCCTTTGTCGTTTTCATTTGTAAAATTTGCACCGTAATAACCGAAATCTGTGTAGGTTCGATCGTCCGAGATAAGCTTACGGGTTTCGGCCGCAAAACTGGTGCTAAGCAAATTTTTATAGGTTTCTGCTACACCTGGCTCATAGTGTATATCTCCCAGAGAAGTTCGATGGCCGTATGCATGCTTGAAAGTCTCAACCAGCCGATGCCAAAATACTGTTTCATTTTCAGCATACATCGGTTCCATTACCTTAAGTATGAAAGCTAGCACAGCACCACTTGTTGGCAAAGGAGTGGTATACAAGGTGTAACCTTGTTCGAAATTTACTTTCACAGAGTCTTCCCACCGTACTCTAGGGAGAAGAATGTTGTGTAAACGCAGAAAACGTTACCAAACGTACATATACTTACTCGTAATTTTGCAAATCTGCCTCTGTTATAATTCCATCCATCTCCTGTATATCTTCTACGAGCTTTTTACCTATTATACCACCTCTGTAAATAGCCTCAGGACCCTCTTCGGCCACGATTTTCAGCGTTTCACCCAATTTGCGCCGATACATGATCTCATCTTCTTTATAAAGTTCCTTAGTTTCCGGATTAATAAATATTTCAGCCATTGAGGGTTCGTTGAGTATACGATCGGCATACAGGTTCAGCACGTTCGCCAAATATTTCGAAACTTTAATACCTTTGAAACACAGCTCAATGGTTGGTTCAAACAAGGACTTCCATGGCAATTTTCCATATTTTTCATGCAAACGCCAATATCCGTATATTTCACTTGGAACAGCAGCGGCGATGGCCCCTAAATCATAAAATAATAGTCCTATGCAAATAACCTGTACAAGTTGTTACCAAATCGCGTTCGTTTGGACAAAAAAGTTACAAGGAGAGGTCACAATTTTGGCATTTCATTTCGAGGGGAAGTAGTAAATCCGTAATGCGAAAATTTTTGCAGGATTGCGGCACACGGTTGCATTTTTGTCAACAATGATTTGAATAAAAACTGTCGTTAAATTTCAAAATGTTCAAACTTGTTTCGAATTAGTAATAAATTCAAGTGATTTGAGAGGTACTCGGCTGAAAAAGCTGCATTCGTAATCGGAACGCAGTCGAAATCACTGTCGATAGAGGAAATCCCACAGTGGTTACCACAAAGAAATTGAAGCGTATGTTGAAGAAAGTCGGAAGAGAGAGAAATATACTCAAAGGTTCTGTTTTGTTTTCCATTTAAAATAGTAGTTGCAATCACGTACCCGCTAATTATTGAAAGTTATCAAAAACTATCAGCTCTCCGCGTTCGCGTACGCAAAAAATTTGCAAAGTAGGGGAAATTGAGAGAGCAAAGTGACATTTCATTTTGCGGGCAAGCCGTTAGTTTCTGCTGGAAAAATTTTTGCCAACAGGAAAACAATATTACATAGTTACATCCCGAGCTAATAAAAGGAAGGTAAAAAAACAAATTCTATCAGCTGTTCATATAACTTGCAAGTTTCAGCAAATTTTCTGTTCGCGTACTATTCTGAATATTTTTCTCTTATGATGATAACATTTCGCCTGAATTTTGCTGTTGGATTTTTTTTACTGGAGATTTTAAACGAACGTACCTAATTTAAACAATGTATTATGTTCGAAATGCAACCGTGGATGCCAGCTGGCAGTGAAGCTTGCAAATTTCTTAAAAATCCTCTGCGCGATAAACTTGGTAAGTTTCTCTCTTTGGGAGAGTAAGATACCTTATTCTCTGAATTTTGTTGCTGGATAACTGCCTAACCAGAATGGTGAATAGGAATGCAAACGATGCATGGATATTTTTGAAACATCGATAATGGGGCACCGAAATTGCGCATATGGAAACTGTGTATTTAGACATTAGGTTTGTATAGTAACTTCTCCAGTAAAACATTNAACTTGCAAGAGAACAGTTGTTGCACTGCTTTGACAATCTGCTGTAAACATTTTACTATTTATAAATCAGTTTTAAACTCTTTGCTTTACACACAAGCACTTAAACAGTCTATACTAGATATTAATATTTTGATTTCCACTCATTTTACTTTTGTTTACGCGTAACCAATTCAACAAATTGTAGCTTTTGACACACATGCATTCTTCTTCTTCTGCTAGCTAATTTCTGCTAGTAAAAATTTCACTAGCAAGAATTTGCAGCTGCAAATTTTTTGGGTTATTATAAATTTTTCCAGTAAAAATTTGCAGGTTAGTACTGACTATTTTTTTTTTACTATATAAACCTAATATGAAGCTGTGGTTATGGTGTATTCTTTCTGATTTAGCTAGCGAAATAGCTTGTGGCTGTGGTACTACATTCTGTTTAGTCAGTAATTCTTGCTGGCTTTTCCAAACGAACACAACTAATTGCTCATTGCATTCATTCGATCGCAGAGCAATTCGCAAACAGGTATTACCTGTTATCTGCTTGTCAATGAACATATTCTGAACAGAGGAAGCCGGCGCAGTTTCCCGCGCTATCAGAGTCTCAATTTTGCTGGTATCTTTGGAGTATATTGTAGCGACAAACCCTCCACCCACTCCCATGCTATGCGGCAGCATAACGCCTTCACACAATAACGTAGCAATTGCGGCGTCTACAGCGGAACCACCATCGCTCAGCATTTTCCTAGATTAAACACATCTGAAATCGTGTTTAAATATTTTAAATCATAAAGCTACGACTTACCCTCCAATGACAGCGCAGCCATCACCATTCGATACCACGGCTCCATAACCCAGCTTTAATGGCTCATATTGTTTACTTCTCAAACCAAAAATCAAACTCAGTGTAATGCCAATAATGGCTATAGATAGAATTATCCAAATAATGACGTATTTTCTGCACCAATCACTGAAATATAAATTTTGAGTTGTGTCTTTATTCTTTTGGTCGTGCAAATTTTTTGTCGAATGGAACAGTTGAAATTTGGAAAAAACACAAACAATTTTACAATTGAAAATAGAATGTATGTATGTAAGTTTGCTGATTTGACTCCAACTGTCAAAACATGTACAGATGATTTTATTTTTTTTTCAAACACTTTGGTAAACCTTCTGTCCTTTCCATCAGTCAGCAATGGCGATTTTGTTTGAATCGCTTCAAAATTGCGCCACGGCGTCCGGGAAACATAGAATGTCGCACTCCTACACATATGTATATGTATCTAACTCCGAACGACACTTAATCCACCCAGCCGGCACGGATTCAAAAAACACAGTTCAAAAAGTTGTATCAAGGCGAATTTATATAAGGGGGTGTCATGATACAAAAAAGAAGCTAATTTCAATAAACAACTTTTGACGGATAATAAAATTTTCTGAAGTTTCATAAATTGTGAGTATTATCAACGGTCTTGCCACTTTGATGATATTAAAACAATAAATCGGAGTATTTTCTTTTCCACATTTATACCAATGTAATAACATTTCAAATCAAAAACCATTATCAGTGCTTGGTACTTTTTTTACTTAAGCGGTCCGCACCTTTTTTTTTATTAAAGATATTTAAAACGTAAACTGTAAAAGGAGACTTTATCGTAATTGTTCTTTTCATTTTGTAATTAAAACCACGCGCGCATTATTCTGTTATTTTTTTTTTTTTTTCTTATTTTGAATGCAATCTGGCGATTTAAAAATTGAATTCTAAAGAATGTTCTTCGGCAATGAAACCTTTTTATATTTTGGTTCAAATTTACTTTTAAATTTCTCATCAGATTTTGCAAAAAATTAGACTTTGTGATAAGCGCATCATCATTAAATTTCAAACATTTTTAATTAATGCAAAACACCTTAAATCGGCTTGAACAGACCGTCCTCTGATAAACAACTAACACGATCGTCGTTTAAAGTACAAAACCGTGTATCAACAAAATGCACAACTGCGTATGTGAGGTTGCATAAATTATTTTGTAGAGAGTAAAAGCACTCATATTTCAAAATGGTTCTCTTTTTTACAAAGAAATCGCATTTCAGGACGAATGGATAAGGCTGGAGCCAATAGCTTGTGTGAGAAAAATGTCAGTTACGCGGTTTTGCACTTTAAGCGACGATATGTAAGTATATACTTTCTTCATGCGTTCTGAAACCTAGTCGTCAAACCCATTTTCGAAATCATATAGCCGGCATAATTTTCGAGTCCATCATATTCCACACTTTTGTATGTACTGATAAAATCTTCTGCTTAAAAAAAAATATTTCTTCTATTGATCAGCTAGCATGAATTTGATGAAATGCCATAATTTTATAAAAAGTCAAATGGTTAACAACAACAACGAATGTCATTAAATGAAACTACCTTCTATTTTATATCAGCCTTCTTTTTTTGTATCATGGATGATTTAAATCAAGGCGAATTTATATAAGGTGGTGTTACTAGCTCAGCTGATTTTGTGTATGTGTTTCGCCGCACGGCTTCTGATATCAAATTGAAAAATTTTGTTTGAATTTCTACACACACTCTTACAGATTTTGACAGTTTATGCCGCCAAAGCAAAAACAAAATACATGTAAATTTTTGTTTTTGTACTCCTGCTATCACCTTATATTAATTCGCCTTGATTTACAGCAGATTTTGAAAAAAGATTTGCCGATTTGTAATTATTTATATGTACGATTGCAAACTTCAAAAACCCTTTTCTATCTAAAATAATTGAGGATGAATTTACAAATCCGAAATACTCCTTTTTAAGAAAAGTGAAGAAGAATTGGTGTTTTTGGAATGAAAAGAAGATAAGGCACTGGAAATGCAACAAAAAGCTTTGCCATTGCTTGAATTCCGGCAACAAGTACCAGATTAAAAATATCCGCTGTAGAATACAGCTGCATGGCGTATATTTTCAATTTTTGGTACAACGTATTACTGTGAGTCTTTGTACCCTACAATGAAATTCTTAAAGTCACAATACCGTTCACAATTGATTAACCAACATTTAATAGAACTGTTACGAACGGCTTTAACTGACTGATTTTGAAAATTTGGCCAGGGATCTGTGAATTTTCTTTAATATCTATCTTACGTGCATTAGAATAATAATGAAATTAATGTTTTCCATTTCTGGTAATAATTTTATTTAAAACAAAAATTGTTGTTTTTGTTGTTTTTTGCGGCTCTTTGTAGAATTTAGAATTTACATGTGGCTCTTTTCGGCCTCGACCTTGCCCACCCCCCTGCCTTAGTATATCAATGTGTGTGTTAACACCAGACTGATAAAAGTGCAACCTATTCTCCTTGTGGTGGTTGGAAATCGATTATATATTTGTATGTACCGGTACTTAGCTCTTACACGTTTAGCATCTTCACTGCTGCCGGAACAAAAATGCCTTGGTTATGATAAAACTTTCTGTTCACAATTTATTAAAGTATATTTTTGGGTAATTGTACGTTAGATACGATACTATTGAGAATAAATTAAAAAGTAACTAATATTTGTAGTTTGTATGTGTATTTATATCAGGTGACTTCGATAAAAAAAATAGCTGATTAAAATATGGAGCCTTTAATTTGGCCGACTTGTCTGGAATTCATTAAGAGACATAAGGTTATCTTTGGATATCTGTATATACAAATACAAATACAGTGAACTCGCGAAAACTCGAACACACGATAACTCGAACGTTCGGACACTTGGAACAAAGTTTTTATTTTATTTCCTATGCGAAAACAAATTAGAAACTATTTGTTAACGTATCCACATCAGTATCACGTACATTGCATCCAATAGGCCGACCGATTTCGGCCGAACAATTTGACCGTCCGAACTGATGTACACACTTAACCAGATTATTTACCGACCGTATTTGTACACACAAATCTAGTTTTCATTACAATTTTGTAAGCAGTGAAATATTTTGATACATTTTACTTGACATACTCTAAACATGTTATTTTATATGTAATTTTTTTTTTATTTTTGCACCCAATAAGTTAATTTTCACATTTTTTCAGATGTGGTGCATTGTAGAATAACAATATGGGTATCAATGAAAAGGAAAATTCTGTGGAATAGAAAAAAAGGAAGTTTTTGGGCGCTCCAGGACGAACAAGTATTGAAAATGTCCTTCTAAAACTTTATCCTTGAATATCCTTGGAATTTTTTTATTTTTGAAAAAAATATATGTCGAGGACTAATATGTAAACTACCACATCCTCGAATTTCGTCCTTCTAACTTTATTAGTTTTAGATAAAAAAATTTTAAACTTAGAATCATTACACTGTACAGCACTCCGCTGGGTATTGGACCAAACCAATTTTTTTAAGAGATTGAGTCATAGGTAAAAAAGTAATTTCTCCGGATCTTTGGTAAAAAATTATTTTTTTATATGTAAATAACTCAAAAACTAAAAATGCACTTCAGTACAGTAGACCGCCTTTTTAAATGGTTTATAACTTTGGCTTTGCAAACTTATATTACAGGTTCTATAAGGGGGCATAGGTCGGGTCTTCGGAAAATTAAAAACCTTATATTATTATATATAATTTCGAAGGATTTTTAAAAAGTTGGTATCGTTGTTCTGATATGCTTATTCGTATACTTTTATGTAAACATTTGAGAAAAAACATTTAAAAGGAAAAAATACCTTTTTGACGTAGAATACGTCTTACATACGTTTCGATATGGAGGCTATGCTCAAATGTTGTAGTTGTAATTTTTAGAACTTCTCGAAAACGCTTATTGCACGAGAACTAGTGAAGCGATTTCAAAGAGAAGTGTGGCGTTTCAAAGTTAAGATACCAAACCGAAAGATAGATTTCGTAAGTAACCGATTCGGAGTCTGTCGTCAAAACAACGGTAAATACCGGCTTATTTTGGGGTCAATTTTGAGCCTTTAAACTGTTCTAGCACCTTATGATTTGCAGATAAAAAATTGATTTTCGGGATATAGGTTCTTTGGACCAGTAGAAATATTATCGTATACAAATTTTATATAAATTCAACAAATATCGAGTATTTTAAGGCAA